CCCCCGCCCCGGCCACCGCGCGCAAGGCCCCGCCGGGCCGGGCCGGGCCGAGAACGGTCTCGCGCCGGCCCCGCCCCCCGGCGGCCGGCCCGGTTGCCGGACAAACACAGAGAGCGATCAAGATGGCTGGCATGCCAACGGATCGCATGCTCGCCCGGCCCGATCGGCCGCCGCGGACGGGGGGCTTCGAACGGGGCGGGGGCCGGCCCCTGGGCTGGCGCGCGCGCGCGCGCGCGCCGGGGCATTGTCCCGGGCGCGATGTGCGCAAGCGTGGATGGGTAGTTGGAGGGGGAGATGCGGAGTGTATTGTGCGGAGCGCGGCCGGTCTTTTTGCTCCTCCGCCCCCCTGGCGAGCCGGTCCGAGACACGCCAGGGGCCGGAGAGACAAAGGAGGTCGCCAGGCGCGGGCCAGAGCATACCGGGGACATGGGACCTGGGAAGCGCCGGCCGCCGGGCTCGGGCTCAGTCGTGCAGGCGCACCCCCCTCCCCCCCACCCCCACCCCTCCATTAGGAGACATAGCTAATTTCCCCGGACTCCGGGGAGATGGCCAGGTACTCGAGGGACACCAGGTGCCGGACCCGGGCCAGCAGGTCCCCCGGCCGGACGGATATCGGCAGCGCGGCGGTCGTCCGCTCGAAGAGCTCCCTTTGCGAGAGGGTGCGCTCGGCCTTCATGATGCGGCAGAGCAGCGAGTCGATCTGGGAGGCCCGGCGGCGTGGGCGCGCGTGTGTGTGTGTGAGTGTGTGAGAGAGAGAGAGGCAGAGAGGGGAAGAGGAAGAGGGAGGTCCGGCGAGGGGGGAGAACAGCGGGCGGCAGGGGGCGCGGAGGGCGGTGCGGAAGGCACACGTCGAAAGAGGCAGGGAGATGAGCGCACCCGGAAGATGTTGGCATTGAAAAGGTGCCGCGAGCCGGCGGAGTCGATCGCGTCCACCGACGCCTCGGCCGACAGCAGCGGCGAGGAGGAGGACGAGCATGCCGACGACACGCCGGATGAAGCCGGCACACCGGGGCCCGAGGCGGCCAGTGCATCCGCCGGCCCGGCCCACGCAGCCCCCGCCAAGTCGGCCCCGGCGTACAGCGGGTCCGGCGGCAGATTGGCCAGGGTAGCCGGCGTCTCGGCCGCCGGTGCCAAGTGGCCGGCGGTCGGGGATCCCAGCCCAGGCGACTGGTGGTGTGCCAGGCCGGAGGGCGTTCGCGCCCCCTCGGCCATGCTCAGGGCCGCGGCCTCCGGCGAGGAGAAAACCACCCGCGACAGGTCCAGGGGGGCCGCCGCCCGGGCACAGGAGAACCCGGGATGCAGGCGGAAGGCGCGCCGGGCCGCCGGGGCTCCCGAACCGCCGCCGCCGTCATCCTCAGCCAGCACCTCGAGGAGCGGACGCCGGCGCTCATCCGCGCGAGGAGAAGCCAGCCCCGACAGGGCCAACGCCAGCTCCTCCACCACGAGCCCGGTCTGCGCAAGCAGGTCCGCGAAAGAAAGCACCCCCGAGGAGGGGCCGCCATTGAAGGCGAGCAATGCCAGGGCCTGGTGCAGCGAGAGGGCCAAGCGCCGACCGCATGGCGAGTCAGCGGCCCCCTCGGGCGAGGGCGGCCGGCTGGCCCACCAACGTGTGGCCTCGGCCAAAACCGTCATGCTGGAGGGACACCACACCAGCCGACGCTTGTACTCGTGCGGCGCCGGGGCACCGCTGGTGGGGGCGCCAGCGCCGGCGGCATCGCCACCAGCCGCAGCAGCACCGGCCAGGTCCCCGGTGTTCCCGGACGCCGGGGCCAGGGGGTTGGAGAAGTACGCCTCAAAGGCCTCCAGCTGGGACAGAAGCTGGCAGATTGGGTAGAGAGGGGGAAGGAGGGTGCGGGGAGGGGGGGGGGGGAGAGGGGAAGGGGAGAGAGCGACAACGAGGTCTGTCAGCTGGCTGGCTGAGGGTCGCAAGGCCCCATGGATGGCATGCTGCGGAGGGGCGCACCGAGGCTGGCAATTGCAAAGCCAACGTCGGCATGGACTTCAAGGCCCAGGCCTTGGGAACGGCAAGGACAGTGATCTCGCAGGCGCCCGGGGCCGGGGATCGTGGCGACTCCTGGCAGGGTGGCGATCCCGGCAACGAGACAAGTAAGTGGTCCGGTCCGGGAGAGAGGGGAGGGGCATGGAGAGATGAGCAGGAAAGACCCACCTTATGGTACTTGCGGTTGAGGTCCAGTGCGCCGGTAAAGTCGGCCATCATGGAGTCGAGCTGCTCGGTGAAAGCCTCACCGGCCTCTGCGAAGCGGCAAGTGGCGAGGTTAGCAGGGGGGGGGGGGGGGGCCTGGTGCCGGACAACACGGGCGCCCAGCGTAGGGGCAGGCAAGCAAGACACCCGGCAAGCCCGAGAGCCCGTACGCACCGACACGCAGCAGGGACAGAGCGGCCAGCTCGCTGCGTTCAATGGCCTCGTGGCTGGTCAGCAGCCGCCGGGAGAGGTAGTGGCGATACTGCTGCTCGAATACATCCTTGGCTGTGCCGACACGCAGTGCAACGGGTCAGCTGAGTAACAGAGGGGGGCGCGCGCGCGCGGAGAAAGGCATCTGGCCAAGGCCAGCACGGTGTGAGAGGGGAACATACCCTGCAGATAGCGGAAGAGGATGAGAGCCGGGTCGGTGTCGAACTCGGCCGGAGCGGCCAGCGCATAGGTAGGCCAGTCCCAGTGGGCCGGCGGCGCGGCCGACCCCGGGGACAGCGTGATGTCCAGGTACTCGGCCAGCAGCCGGGCCATGCTTTCGGGGTGGATGTTCATCAGATACTCGAAGGAGCTCTGCACATGCCAAGCCAGCCCGGTTGCCCGACGACGAGGGAAGGGGGAGGGGGGAGAAAGGGTGTTGGTTCTTTTTTTGGCGGGCGCATCCCCCCTCTCGGGCGAGGAGGGGGGGAGGCGGGGCGAGGAGCAAGCTGGCAGGGCAGAGAGGCCGGGGTGCGTGACCGAAACGCACCCGGATGACCCCGATCAAGGAGGGGTGCGAGTCGAAGAGCCAATTACAGAGAGACAGCGCGTGCTGTCGGAGGTTGGCCAGGTCGGTGACCTTGTCAAACTCCTCCAGCAGGAAGGCTCGCGAGGGGGGCAAAACCACCGGTGCCGAGCCGGAGGGGTCTTCGGCCGGTCGCGCTCGCGGAGCATGCACCAGCCCGCCCCGGGTGAAGGGCTCCCCGGTGAGGGTTGCCCGCCCGCGAATCCGAATGTACGATGCCAGCGAGTGCCGGACCACCTCGACCATGGCCACATCGCGGTACAGGCGGAAGGCCACAAGTGCACCATCCAGCAGCCGGCCAGACTGCGGGGGGGGGGGGGGGGGG